AAAACGATGAGAACGAGGACGAGGACGAGGACGACGCCAAAGATTTGATTCCTGCGCGAATTTCACGCCGCGAATATTGTGACTTTAACGAGGCGCAGCTAGTCGAAGAGTTCAACGGGCGGCAGCTTTTTCACGAGAAGACGCTACGTGGAACCGCTGTTTGGTGGTCTGTTATGCCACTGCCGAAGACCGCGCTCTTCAAAGAGATATATGTGTCGATCCAAAAGAGTTAATAATAAACGCGCCTCCTGCCACCCATACGCGCCGGAAGAAACGATACGCGCGCGCGCGCGCGCGCGCCTTTTCACTCTCTCTTCACGCCGCACGAGCACTCGCCATTTTACAAGTCTCGATGTGTCCCGAGAGAACTTCAGAATCGTTCGATTCCAAAAGGCGGAACCCTTTTCGTCCACGTCATGGTGCGCTGCGGAAAATGCCGCTTCGCCCAAATTTGTGCACGCTCGTCGAACGGGTTACGGCGAAAATCGTCGAGATTAGCGCGGCCGGATTTAGGAAGTGATTATTCACGGTGGAATTTACTCGGCCGGAAAACAATGTTCTAAATTTACGCGACGATTTCCTCGTTGACTGGCCGTCCGAGCGGAGCCGTTGATCGACTCTGCACGCTTTGCGCGTTCTTGCTTACGTTCGTACCGTTTAAATCGTTAAACTTTCCCGAAAGAACACGCAGTGAATAACAAAGTTATTGAGCCCCACTCTTTTCTGTTTTTCGAAAGCACCGTGTGTGTTCAACGTCAGGTAAATCTTATCACAGATAAACTTTTGTCAAACAGATTGTCGATGCATTCCAGGTGAAGATAAAAGCGGAGCGGATAAATCAACTGGAGGATAAACAAACGGTCCGGTTTTATCGAGCACCTTGATTTGTCGCTGAGAAGAGATAAAAATTAACGAAAGTCTCGTCAAGAATGAGACACGCGGCCAGCGGCGTTCCGGCGAAGAGCCGCGAGACAATTGATGGTTCTCGGCTCGATGACAACTGGGAAGAGGGAACTGACTATATTACACACACACACACACACATATATATATATATATATATAGAGAGAGAGAGAGAGAGAGAGAGAGGCGAAAGATTAGCCCCGTTTCTCCTGCATTTTCAGATACATGTTCACAGGACCTATCGCAAGATGCCTCACGGCAAGTGGAATATGCTTTTAAAGTCTGGTCATTCCTTCCCAAGAGATCCCGTGTATTGTGGCAATATATTGGACAAGTATTATAAATCCTATGCTATATCTGCGCATTCGTTCGTTTTTTCATTTCAGCCTCTGAGAAAACAGAGACTTCCGACAGTGTTCTCTCATACGCGGAACCGTCTCGAGCTACCTTGCAGAGAGATCTCGAGAGAAACTGCGACTCGTGGAAAAAGGGAGAGAGACATCGGAGCAGATGAGAAGCCGAGCAGCGGGAATAATAATTCCGTCAACCGCGCTCGTTTTCCTCCGCTCCCTCGACGCGACTTCGCACCTTCTTCGTGCCTCGTAACTCGCGCTTCGTCGTCTCGTATCGCGTTCATCCGAAGGAAGTTGAAAGAGTGAGCGAACGGACGAGAGAGTAACAGAGTTACAGAGAAGCAGAGGGAAGAAGAGGAGGGAAAAAGAGACCGGGTTCTTCTTCTCCGGTAAATCAAAAATACTCCTCCGGGGCTCAAATTCCCTCGAATCTCTAAGCGCGCGATTTGCGCGACTAAAAATACGTTCTCGTAAAAAGAACGTTATTCTCTCTATGTTATCCGTTATTAGTCCGAGGCGATGTGAATTGCGGTCGCGTGATGGGTTACCGCGCGCCGTCAGTGATGGTACGTACCGCGAGTTAACTGACTGTTCATCCATCCATCCATCCATCCATCCATCCATCCATCCATCCATCCAACTAACCAACCAGCACGACGTGCATTCCGCGGACGCATGCGTGCGGTTCCCCGTCCTCGTCGTCCTCGTCGACATCGCGCGCGACTCTCTCGCGTTACCGGCGGACTATTTATACGTACGAGCGGCTAATTCGTTTCCCCCTCGCGCTTTCACCTCGCGGCAGTCGGAGGCCGCAGCGACGATGGTGGATTTAAGGTGTTTTCGATCAGTGACAGCGAGTCGAGCGAGCACAGCGCGAGGCCGACCGCCTGACAGGAAAGAGAACGTATCCCCTATCGTACGTCAGCATCTACCGACACGTACTAATTAGCCAGGATAAGCCGCCATGAATAACGATCTGTCCTCTCCCTTTTTCGTACAAGGGGGCAAACAAACGCGCGAGTTAAGATACAGATCTCATGCGAGGGACAGCACGATATGCATGTAGAAGCTCATCGCGATCGATACTTGTCAAAGCTACCGATCATTCTCTCTCTCTCTCTCTCTCTCGCGCTCGCTTCTCCTCCCCCTTACCTTCCCTTCTCTTTCCTGTCATTAACAGAAGTGCATGGCCGACGGCCTAGCGATCCGTCTAGCGTTCGTAGCTTATAAATCCGAGATAATGTAAGCATCTCCTCGAAAATAATGAATCCTTTAACGGTCCCGTCTTTCTCTCTCTTCCTCTCATCATCACCTCTCGCAAGAGGAATGAGTCGCACCTTGATGAACGGGGTTTGCTCCGTGGATGGGCGCACGAGAAAGAGAGAGAGAGAGAGAGAGAGAGAGAGAGAGAGAGAGAGAGAGGGAGAGAAAGAGGTAAATCCACGCGGCGCGTGGATGCGATTCCGTTGTAACCCGAATGGGCCCCGAAAGGGGAACGTTCTTTTACGGGGCACCATAAAGATTTATATTTAGACGGTACGTGACGCGACAAAGACCCTCAGCTTTCAGCCTGTCCCAGATAAATTTTTAGGTGCGTTCACGTCGCGTCGCGTCGCGTCGCGGACGCGCGACCACTTAGCATTAAACTATAAAAATAAGATCGATGAGTCATCGCGATGATTTACGGCCCTCGCGCGGATGATGAACGAGCATTAACACGGCACGCGACTCGCGAGTTATTTCGCGGCGATGCGCGCTCCATTAACACGTTGACCGTCATAGTGGTTGTTGGTGATCGTGATATCGCTGCGTTTCATTCATTTCATTTTAAAACGTAATCAATTGCGTACAACAAATTAAGTATATATAGCTGATGGAGAGCCAACGAAACCAAGGAATAAACGCATCGCGAATTACACTGATTTGCTGCACTTTTGGTGACTCAAACTCGAATTGAACATTGAGGTAATCAGTGGAGATCAGCATGCCTTACATGGTGAACGTATCAACGAAGCGACGAAGAGCGTGCGCGAGCAGCGCCCGAGCATCGGGAATTCGATTTGTCGCGCGACACACAGCGAATAAGGAGTTGAATAAGTAAGGTGAGCCAACGAGTGTGCGAGAGACACGACAGGCAACAACAACGACGACGACGACGACGACGACGACGACGACGACGACGACGACGACGACGACAGCGACGGCGACGGTGTCGGCGACGCGCGTCCTCTCTGCACGAGCGACGCGAGCGTAAATTAAGCGCGGCTGGTGATCGCCACGAGCGAGTTTCATTAATTCGACTGGATAATAATAGGTATCCGTGAGGTCTGCGGGTCGTTACGATTAGGCGAGTCATCGTGGGCTTTCTATAAATAACGGTCGGAGACAGACATCGCCCGGGGGTGGAAAAGGGAGCGACGCGAGAGCAGTGAGAGGATTCGGAGAGGGGAAGGGACCGAGAGTGAGAAAGAGCGAGGGGGGAACGAAGAGAAATAGAGAAGAAGGCCGGTAATCTCGGCAGTTCTCTCTCCAGCACCAGCGTTCGTTCCGCCGTCGCCGTCGCCGCCGCCGTTCATGGTGTGCGTCGAGTATCCCGAGGGAAACCAAAAAGGTGGTCGACGAAAGGACGACACATGTCCCGAATGTGTTCCGGGCACACGGTGGCGCAAAGGGACGAAAGAAAAATAGGGCTGCTTCTCAGGCATATTGCGGTCATGGTGGAGCATCGAGATTACCTGTGAAAAGTGGCGGCAACGGCGACGATTCACGCACCGACACCGGACAAACGGCTGCGCCGTCGCAACAACCTTACGCGAGGCATCTTTCTCACACCTGCGCGCGCGCGGAATCTCTCCTTTCGCGCGATCTCTCGGTCCGTGCGAGACATTCGATTGCAAAAATTACTTTTTTTCCAAACGCCCACTGCAGCCCTCGCGTTAGGCATACACGTCCGGACGATCCGACCTGTAGGGTAGTTTCTTTTCCACTTGCATCTTGTTACAAAACAGGAAAAAGAGTCTCGTTTCATGCGGATTTACCCCTGCTCAAGTTATCCTTACGTCCTGAATCGTCGAACCCTTAGAACCCTTAGAGAGAACTTGAGACAATGTCTCGGTAGTGCATTATTTGTCCATATTATTTATTGAAAACTATCTTTGAATAAATATCATTCGTCAACTCATTGAAGGTATATAATACCTTTAATGAGCAATAACATGAACGAATAATAATACACACAGATATCAACAAATAATTAAAGGATAACATTTGATAAAGAAGCAAACCGAGAGAAAAGATCCTTTCGGTTATCCTGTCTGTCTCATTACATAACAGCAGCAAAAGAAGAGAAAGTTACCTCTCCCCGATTAATCGGGCAGAAATCATCGGATGCTGAAAAACGCGAGAGAATCTCGTCTCCGCTTTCTGACGTCTCAGAATGGCGCGAAAACTGCATCGCGAGTGCGAGGCGACGTGCTGAAGAAGCGCACAAGCAGCAGCAACAACAGCAACATCGGCGGCGGCGGCGGCGGCGGCAACGGTGGCAGTGGTGGAGGAGGAGGAGGATGAGGATGTGGAGGTGGAGGTGGCGGTCGGAGAAGCAAGACGAAGAGACGTGCGCGGAGTTAGAAAGGGAGCGAAGGTACCGCGCGGCAACGGAGTGGGGTTCGGAGTTTTGCCGGCGACGCGATCTCTCGCACTCCGGTAGTGGGGACACGAGAGACTAGCCACGAGGGGTTGCGGAGGGAACGAACGCGCGGACGAGCGGTTATTTCAAGCGACGGCTCTTCTGGCACTTCGCCCCGAGCTTTCCTCCTCGTGCTGCACATCCTCCTTCTCCTCTCTTGGGCCCGCGAGTAGTGCCCGAGTCCCGTCAGTGTCGCCGCCGCGACGACGGCAGCCTCTCCTCGACGAGACGAATCAGAAGGAGGAAGAGAGAGAGAGAGAGAGAGAGAGAGAGAGAGAGAGAGAGAAACACAACGCAGTCAGAACGCAACGAGCACCGCGAGCGGCCGGACGGATGCGTGTCTTCGAAGCGATCTGTTCTGAAGAGCGGCGGTGACACGAGTTTGTTGTCGAGAAAGCGCCGCCAAACGATCGATCGATCGATCGATCGATCGATTGACCGACCGACCGTCCGATCCTGCGCGACAATCTTGCTACGCGCGCCAACTTTCAAACTACAGTGACACTAGGCAGTGACGCGTCGGACTGGAGAACACCCTCCGAGGGTGCGACGGTCTCGGGGTGTCTCAGTGAATGGACCGTACGTGCTCGGTGCTAGGATCAGGGAGAGCCGCGAGAACCGGAAGATCGCTTTCGTGTGGTACAAGGAGAGTTTTGTGAGAGAGGAGAGAGAAGTCGTTGTCGGGATATCGCGCGAGTTTCGATCATCTGTCAGACAGAAGCGAGGGGAAACTTTGGAGAGAGAGAGAGAGAGAGAGAGAGAGAGAGAGAGAGAGAGAGAGAGAGAGAGAGAGAGAGAGAGAGACCGGAGGATGGAAGGCGCGTGGAAAGGAGCGAAGGAGGATCTGTAACGACGTGGCCGCCGTCACCGTCGCCGTCGCCGTCGCGCCGACCGGCCTGAAATAACAGCGGGAATACGTGCACAGTGAATCAGCTCTCGTTCGTCCGTTCATTCGTTAGCGCGAATCTCCTTTCGGAGCAGTGACTAGAGCGCGCGGCGACGAAGGAGCTCCGTCGGAACCTACCCTTCTTCTCTGTTCGTCAAGCCCGCGCGTCGATCTTACGACTCGGCGCGCGCGCTATCCGTGATCGAGCTCCGTGCAGGGAGAGAGCAACCGGAGGCTGCTCGGAGGGAGAGTGGGTTGAGAAAAGCCAGAAGCCCCCGAGGTACGACGAGGAGGACGAGGGGCAGCGGGAGAAGGGACGAAGGGGGTGTTTTCAACTCGGCCGATCCCCGGCCAAGTTTTCTCGGAAAGGAGTTCGCGAAAGCGCGGCAATATCGTGAGTACGACACAGGCTGCTCCCCTGTAATACTTATAGATAAAGACACAGACGCGCGGAACGGACGGACGTGGGCGGACCCATTAATCAGGGCTTGGAAAGCTGAATTGGACCATGTGTCTCACGTTGTCGGGTGAAAATTACCGCGTGCACGCTTCATCTGCGATCACACCACCGCGCAATTTCGACCATTCGACCATTCGACGATCCTCATTCCCGGTGACGATCGCGTTTTCTTCGAACGCGGGCTGGACGAATTGCGCGAGTCACTCGACGTAAACACGGAAATTCGAGCACGGCACTGATCCTTCAGTTATCTCATTCGCGTCGCGGATACGTATTGGCCCGTGTAATAATTCTGAATTTTTCTTTGAAAAATCTACCGTTGAAAACGTTCGGAGAAGAGTTGTTTATTGAACAGCCCAAAATCTCTTTCGGATAAATTTTGGGAAATCTCAACATATGTTTCTGTGAATAAATATGAGATATGTCAAAAGAAATCTTTCTCGTAGACAAATATTCTTGGTGACGGACTGTCGGAGAGAATCTTTCGAGCGACATCGCGACAGACGTATATCTCTCTCCCCCTCTCTTAGTCGGTGTGTACTACGTAAACTACGAAATTAAATAAATTGATGCGGTAAACAGGACATGCGGTAATAATAGACGCCCGATGTCGATATACCAACGCGGACGCGTTATGGACGCGCGCCGGGCCGTCCACGACGCAATGCGTCGCGGAAATGCGTGAAGATGCATCGTGTGCGTCATCGAAGGTAGCCCCGATGTCGGGGCGATGACGCGCGCGCGATATCGATAGGTTTTGCCGGGTAGTACACCCGGCTCTCGCGTATGTACGCGCGTGCACACGCGAGCCGAGAAGACATCGTTCGGGAATGCAGCTTTAATTGGTATTGCGTCGCCGGACGATTAAGCGGATTCCTGCCATTTATTTCCCGATGCGATCGATTGCGTCTCGCGCAGCCGGCGCGCGCTAATTCACCTCGCTCGCGTTGGCCGGATGGAAAATTTCCGTGCTGCGCAAATATTATTGATACTCGAGACGTGTACAAAATAGCGCGATGCCGATAAAATCATCGAGATAAGAGTTGCTGACTAAATAATCGAACGAAACCTCTGAACCTTAACCTTTAACCTTGGAGAGGAAGAGAGCGAGAGTGAGAGAGGCGCCGATGCAGTCGCAGTCGTTTCGCTTCATGTATTTCTTGTTTCGGCGTTTCACCGCTTCTGATAATGAAGTGGAAAGAACGCGCGCGCAGGTTGCAATTAAGAAGCAGCAAGGTAATCGGCTAATTGATTGACTAATTAATTTTGAACAGAGAGAGAGAGAGAGAGAGAGTGAGTATCTAAGCCGCGATCGGTACTCGACAGCCGTCTCTCTCTCTCTCTCTCTCTCTCTCTCTCTCTCTCTCTCTCTCTCTCTCTCTCTCTCTCTCTCTCTCTCTCTCTCTCTCTCTCTCTCGTCTTCTTCGCGATCTTCGTCGCGTTCCGAATACTCGTCGAAAGACGATGCAATCGGTAATCGCGCAAGTTTGAGCTGTTATTTTGTATCGCAATACGTACTTCGAACTTTTGCGATATCGAAAGGGCTCAGTTATCGACGCAATTATTCGAACAAAACATCGGCTATGCACCGACACTGTTCGCGCGCTGAGAACGCAGCAAGGTTTAACCCCTGCGCTTTCCTCTGGCGGTGGCCAGACCAGGCGCGGCTTACACACGACGGAGTGGGGAGAAGAAGTAATTTATTCCGGCTTTACTTAATCTCTTCCCTCGCGTGTCTCGTTGGCCCGTCGAGTCGTGCTTCTTTAATCCAAATTCCAAATTGAGGAAGGGAACGAACGAGAGGAGGGAGAGGGACGAGTGAGCGAGAAAAAGTGTCTAAGAGAGCCATCTAGAAACACGCAAGTTTCTCTTTTTCTTTCTTTCTCTCTCGAAATCCCTCGACGGTGAATCAGATTATTACCCGGAATAAATCGTCCACACACCGCGATCATTTATCGCACATTTTTAGCTACGACACGTCAAACACTTTGTAGAATAATGATGTTTTGGAGCGTGTTAACTCCCGTTAAAGCGTCCCTCGCACGCTTGGCGCCATCGGGGAAAACGAGAACTACGAGTACAAAGTGCACAGAAAATTTTGAAATGTGCTTTCCCTCTCTCTTCTCTCGGTTCTAATCGCTTTTGGGACCGGCATGTAAATAAATTCGCGGTTTCTAACGCGGAGGTTAGTTTTTGCTGAATTATAAATCACCGGGAGTCTGACCGCACGGACGGACTGGATGAACTGGAAGTGCCGCGAAATTGTCTTGAGCGAATCATAAAGCGAGTAACAGTGTTCGCTTCCGGTGTTTACACGAGCAAAACGCCGCCGTCGCCAGCGCCGCCGCGACCGGCAGGCAGAGATCCGCGCGAGCAAACGATAATATACACGCGAGATGAATTACACGAGTGTTTCTTTTTGTCCCCCTCCCCCTTCGCGATTGTCCGCGATAGCACGTGGCTCGCGAATTTCTTTCCTGCATCCGGTCATACCAACCGGTATCGTAATTCGCGAAATCACTCGACTCGATCAATCACGCGACTTGGAGAACGAAAGTGTCTCGTCGATGACTCGGAGATTGTCTCTCAAGTCTCCGACAGATATCATCGAGTAAATTCGCACATCCAGAATAAAAAAGAAAATTTTCTAGAGAGAATGTTTAGAAGGAAAATATTGTCAGTACAAATATACCACAATATTCCTTTATCCCTCCGTTGCTGATGCTCGGAGCATCAGCCGAGTAAGCATGACTTATGCATTGCGAAAGTCCAAGCCATGACTGGTCGTTCTCTTCTGTCGTATTCTCGACGCAAACATTCGCAAATCACGCGGCGTACGCGCAATACGCGGATTATGCGCGTACAGTGTGGCGTATTGTGTGCCACTTTTCTCGGCCCTTTACGTCCTCCCGCGATCCACCGCCGCGCGGCGGTCCCTCGTACTTAAGGAAAGCTTGCGCGTATGCGCGCAAAGGATTTAGAGGCTGTGAGGCATGGAGAAAGAGAGAAGACCGAGAAAGGAGGAGGACGGTCAGATAATCGAGGTAGGAGGAGCGAGAATTGCAAGTAAGCTCGTAAGAAGCGGCCTACGATTTATTTGACACATCGCGCCGACCGCTCGCGAGCTAGAGTGGTTTATTTTATAAGACCAGATTGCCGGCCTCGCTCCACCGGAATAGAATAATGAACGTTTCTCTCCTTCCTTCGTAGTACAACTCCTCCTCCTCCTCCTCTTTCTCCGTTCAGCGCTCCAACGAATCCTACCTCCTTCTCTCTCTCTCTCTCTCTCTCTCTCTCTCTCTCTCTCTCTCTCTCTCTCTCTTTTCACCCCTCGTCATCATGAAAGTCGAGTGTCGTTCGAGAACGTTTCTCTTCGCGTCGCGTCGCGACTCCCTTCTTGCTTCTCGGGGGTTAACTCTAGAACGCTAACATTTGTTTTTCCACAGTCGTTCGAAGACGCACACGTTTTAGACGACGTATAGAAAAAAAATCCGAGCAAGATGAAGGAAAGCGTATAAAGATGCGCGTTGGATCCGATTATTAGTCGTTGCAAATAAATTAAAATTTCAAGTCCTTCGCAGGAATACACGTCCAAAAAGCATATCCGGCTGATGCTCTTGAATCAGCCACGCGATTTCTTTTCAATAAATATTTACCCGCATTGATACATATATATGTATCTTTTTCTCCTTCACTCTCTTCATTTCGCGATAACGGGGTCTTGCGGGGTGCGAGAGCCTTATGAGACTCTTTGTCTTTGCACGTATGCTCGAAACTTTTAAGTCAGAACGAGTACGTCGTTCTCTCGCCAGCCGGTTTATTACGACGACGCTGCCGTATCTTATTGACCGCGCTTTCGTCGCGATCGAATTAACGATAATGCCTGTTAAAAGCCAGTTATACGGTTCATCGTTGATAACAGAACGCACTGGCTAAATCGCCCGGTAATCGCGGCAAGACGATACCAGATTACAATGACAAGATAGAGAGAGAAAAAGATATGAATGAGAGAGAGAGAGAGAGAGAGAGAGAGAGAGAGAAGATATTTTAAATAAAAACTCACAGAACACGGAGACTGCGATGATTTTTCTGTGTTGCTTTGTCGTCCTATCACGTAAAATTATCAAAGTATGAGAAATTTCAAGCCCTGCAGTGGCACGTACTTCATTTTCTTGTCTTGCATATGTATCGACTTTATGATAGTCGTGAATAAATCTGGAAAACAAGAAATCAGAGATTACGTACTCGTATAGGCGTATATGAGGTAGACCTAAACGAAAAGATACTAGTTTGAGATCCGACAGAAAGTACAATTCTGTGTAAAGGAATTTTCGCAATCATAGAGACATGAATGCTACTGTAGAAAGTTATCGCAGAAAAACTTTAACTAAACGTAAAGCTTCATTTTTGTTCAAGAGATTAGAAAACTACAACGAATAAGATTTATAAACACAATCCTCAACTTTGGAACAATGACCTATTATAAAAACTGTTTAAAACATATTTCTGCCCTTTCGCTATTCCGCCTACTTGTCTATATACTTATCTATCTGTATGAATTTTCGATATTTTCTTGTCATTCCTTTCGTACGGATACACCCTGTATATACAAAGCTCTTTACTGCGTATGTAGATCATTATCACTGATGTATTCAGTTACCGCTGCACATCAGCTTATTAAACTTTAATGATCGATTATCGAGGGATGAAGAATGTAGAAAAATATCGTCGGTGTTGATCATGCTCGCCATCTTGATCAATAAAATGCTCGGCTCGATTCAGTATTTGACATTAAAGAGCAACACACAAATCGAAGCGGCGAATGGTCACCGGTGGGACTTAATACGCTCACCGTGTGTACGTCGCCTACGTCAACGCGTATGAATATTGCTTTTTAATGCGTCGATATGTCCCGGACTTTTGACGCGCATCGC